TGGTAGAATATTACCTAGTTGCTCGGCTTTAGCATCATTATTTCGATCCGATAACTGTCATCAATATTTTGCGCCTGTAAGCCACTGCGATCACAAAAAAACAGTAGTGTTACGCTCGTCTCTAGGTATGCTTCAACTATTAAGAGTTCACCTCAGTCGAATAAAGAGAACGAAACAATGAACCAGAGTCCAGGTAGGCTACTATGGTCCCCTGACCAAAAGGCATCAGCCAGAAGTCTTGATATAGTGTAGAAATTGTATTCTACAAACACCCAACCAGCACACAACGAATCCAGGTACTCAAATTGCATTTATTTATACTCTATAGAGAGGTCCTTGGGACAGTCACAAAATAGCGCACTAAAATGACACAGTAACCAATCACAGCCAAGGATTTTCCTGGTGGGCTATCTGATCTCAAGGTCAACTGATCGGTCCATGAAATAAATCCAAAATAAAGATATTTATCAAGCGAGTTATTATCAATTTAACTCACTTTACAAAAATGAATGTTAGTTGGGAGAGAAAAAACACTATGAGAAATTATAATGAAATAATTAGGTAGATTAAGGAAAATTGATGATGAAAAATTCACATTATTAATGAAACAGAGAAGTAATTTTTGAAAAAGTAAAACTTTTCTTCGATAGGAAAAAAAATGAGGGAAAATTTACAATTCAATAGAAAAATAATAATAATAATAATACAATTGGAATGTTTAGAAAAAAATACACTTGTAACCTATACCTACATAAACATGCATAAAATAAAGAAGAAACATAACAAACAATAAATAATGATGAAATGATGTCCAATGATTATGAAATTAGTTGACAGAATATAGTACGATTCAATGAATGAATGGAATGGAATGGGATGAAATTATGTGTGCAATAAAATTGAAAATAAATAAAACCAATCGGAACACATGGATGAAAGAAGAGGAAACCAGAATGGAAACGAGCACATATTTTAAAAGATATTAATGGTAATTAGTTAGTTAAGTGAATTTACACAAAAGACACAGTAATTACAATATAATAAAAAAAACAGGATAATAATAATAATAGTTGTAATCATAAAAATAATCAAATATCTAACTGTACATGTACACACCTTCATACACTTACAAATAGTTGACATAGAAGATTGACATCCCCAACACCCCCTTTTTTAATGGCATGCGCTCCTAGGGTCGACCTGCATATTGAATTTAGTTCACCGCTGTCTGAGAGGATACCTTCGGTATCCTGAGTGAGTTTCTTCTCGTGGGGGGCTGCTGGTAGGTTGAAGGTGTCAAGATGGATGTCAAAGGGGAAGATTTTCTGCTCTTAATGGACGACCTGGAGCTAGCCGTTTGCGTATTTGGTTTCGATGGCGTGATCAACTTTCGCCTCCTACCTCTACTTCGTACACAACACTCTCAGCTCGTCTGATCACTCATGCTTCTACCCATGATATGTTCTGTAGTCGCGGGAAAACACAGAGCATCCCACTTCATAATAGGGTTGCCTTTTATGCTTTGTCTCTACTGATGTTAGTGCATTGGTCGGATGCATCAGGCTGTGGATCGTTTCCAGTCTTCTTCCCATCAGTATTTCTGCTTGGGACTTTTGTTCAGGTAACAACTCATTTGGTGTTGTTCGATAGATGTACAAGAAATTTCTTAACGCGTTGGCTGGTGTCCTCTCCCCTTTTGACTTAACCAATGCTCTCTCAAACGTATCCACAAACCTTTCCGCTTGCCCATTCAAATGCGGGTGGTATGGTGGCGAGCGTAAGTTCTTAATGGCTAGCCGCTGACAGAAAGTTTGGAATAGTGTGGAGGTAAATTGAGACTCGCTATCAGATACGATCACATCTGATAAGCCATTTCGCGAGAATATCTCAGTTAGGAGCTGTATTGTTTTAGTTGTCGTGGGTGGCATAACGGGGCTGATTTCTGGCATTTTGAAAAGGAGTCGAACACAACTGAATACATAGTTCCATTGATTGGACCAGAGAAGCCAACATGTATCCCTGACCATGGATGATCAGCTTTGGGCCATGAAATCGGCGGAACTTTGGCATTTTTTTGACATGTTGATCCATGAGAGGCCAGTATGCATAACTTCTGGCTATGCACTTCATTCTTTTAACCCCTGGATGACCGAGATGGAACTGTCTCAGCACTTTTGCACGAAGGGATTCCGGTACCACTAATCTTTCAACCAAACATCAAACAATCGTTCATAATGCATTGTGAATCCCGCAGCTGATACAGATACTTCAAGTCACCATCACACTTCTTCGAAGACCAACCTTCAGTGCCATATTTCATCGCCATCGTGATGACGGAGTCGTTTCTAAAAGCATTTTGTATGTCTGTTGCAGACACTGGTAATGCGCAAATGGCGGTTGTCAGATAACATTCCGCGTGCTCTTCCACTGACAGAGATGCGATTACCATGTTTTCCACGGCTTCCACTTGATCATTAATGAGTCGTGACAAAGCGTCTGCCTGACCGAATTGTAGAGTGCGTCGATATTGGATTTCGAAATCATACCCCAAAAGTACCAAGGCCCTTCGCTGAAGACGATTTGCAGAATGGGCTGGAATGCCAGATTTAGAACTGAATGCTGTTAACAGAGGCTTGTGAAATGTGAGGAACGTGAATCTCCGACAGTACAGAAACTTGTGAAAACGGCGAATAACAAACACAAAGGCAACAGCCTCTTTCTTTATCTGACTGTACTTCTTTTCTGCTGGAGTTAGTGTATGGGATGCATGCTTAACGGCCTTTTCTGATTCATCTGAAAACTGAAGTGAGATAACAGCGCCTAGGCCATATGCTGAAGAGTCTGCTTCTATGACAATTGGCATGGATGGATCGTAGTGTGTTAATAACAATTCCGAGCTAATTATGGACTTGAGTTTACCAAAAGCCGCGTCACACTCTTCAGTCCAATTCCAAGTTCTGCTTTCTGCAGTAGACAATTCAATGGAGTGCGAATATCGTGCATCGAATCAACAAACGCTCAATAATAACTGATCAATCCGAGAAAAGATCGTAATTTCGAGACATTAGTGGGAGTGGGCATCAGTTTGATAGCTCGGATGTTCTCAGGATCCGGTCTGCGACCGTCGGCATCAAAGATGAATCCCAAATACTTTACCGACTGCAATAAAAACTGGCATTTTTCTGGGCGTAACCGGAAACCGTTGTCACTGATGCGTTGTAGTACCAATATCGTGCATTCCCGTAGCTGTTCTAATGTCTTCGCAACAATTAAGATGTAATCGAGACAAGCTGCGACCTCACAGATATCTGATAGGTATCCACTACTTTCTAGATCTAACGTCCCCAACAGTGATCGAATGAAAGTGAAATACCAGAGGTCATAATCTACAAAGCTATTGACTCCTGGTTTCGTGAGGTCTCACTGACAAACTCAGAAGACGCTACACAGGTTACCTTTGCTGCCGGTAAGCACTAATCACTTGAGAAAAAGCACATATAGCAAGTTGGCTTATAAAATGAGAGGCTGCAGGAAATCGACAGATTGTCTAACAGCAAAGGCACTAAAGCCTCAAAGGATGTGGAATCGATAACATTTTCAGGGAAATAAATCACTGAAACTTACAGTTCACACAATTCGCACGTACTAAATGAACAAGTGAAACACACAACTGTACCTGTCCATGTTACATGCTGTTGCACTCGCTTTTTCTCAGTACTGTTTTTCCGAAAAACCTTCATTTTATTTAAATTTTATGAAGCAAAAGAAATCTTCGAATTACATTCTCCATGTGCATTTTTTCCGAGTATGAAAAAACACAACCGCTGACGATTTTAAACATTATATCGTAGTTTGCATCTAAGCCGACAAGCTAGCTCCTCAGGGGGTTCTGGCTGAACTACTAAGTTGGGTGAATCACAACAGACCTAATTTTAACACTTTAATGCTGTGGTTCACGTACATAGTTTGCATAACACTTCATCACAGGTTTCTCAGGTTGGAAATTATCTTGGTGCCCTATGATCCACAGTCTCAGACCAATTTTAACCAGGAACCTTTCGAGAATACCTTGCTGTAAAAATGCTTAAACGGATTTTTTGTCATTGTGATAGTAGAACGTTCGATCTACCGTTTACATCATGGAAACATAAAGTTCTCTTCCCCACTCCAAAAGAACAAGGCGAGCCTGATGACCATCTTGAGGACCCAAGTTCATATCTTATTAGAAGAACCTCAAGTTACTAGATCTTTACTCGTTACAGTACAGAATTCTCAGAGATGACCTCAAGACTCATCGTTATCTGAACGCTCAAGAGAATCCTCTTAAATACTTACAGAGCCTCAGTTTTAACACAAACTCTGGGAGAAATTTCCAAAAACTAGAGGCTCAAGATGGCGAAATGGTCTAGCGACACACCTATTCTTTGCGGGCAATCGACTACTGGAATTCGTTACCAACTGTAGTGGTCCAGGCGACTTCCTTTGAGTCCTTCAAGAAGGGACTGGTTGTTTCTTAGAGAACCAGGTCATTAGTTACCGATATTTCTCCTTTACTCTCCTTTATATCCAGGTTTCTACCTGGAGGCATCACTGATCTATCACTATAAGATACGAAGCCCGTTAACCGAAAGCTTCTATTCCGTCCACAACCGTTTAAACTAATTTAAGCTAACTTATTAGAGAGTTATTGAAAGTTGTAGCATTTTATCTTTTGAGTTCATGAAAACAAGTAAGAACTAATAGTTAGGAATGTCGAACTACCGGTTAAAGGGGTTAGTTGCACTACTTATTTGTTTTAATCGACTTGACAGATCATCTCCATTAGGCGGCTCCTGGTTTCGCAAGGTATGTGGTGTTGGTTATTTTTATGTTGATTAAACTTATTATCTTACTCTTGTTCTTGTCAGCTACGTTTGTTTGGAGAAATTTACTCTCGTTTGCACTGTTTTTCATTTTAGAATGCTTTCAAATGTTTTTAGGTATCAGGCGTTTATATTCCAATGGCAGATTATTACAGCCAAGATTACGGGGCGTCGATGGACTACAATAACATGGAGACCGGTTATGGATCTGTTGCTCAGTCTACCGCAATAGGAAATGGGGAGTATGGACAATTTTCGTACGATCACATACGGGACGAAGATGACTATCAAACAATTTCCCGCCCTGAAAGAAGAGTATCATCTCCACAGTCTAAACATGACTCTGGGAATAACGACCGAATTCGCGGTAAAAAGCGTGAAAGGAGAAAATCTCGCAGTCGTAGTCGTGATCGCAGACGTCATAGTCGAGATCGACATCGAGATCACAGCAGAGAACGTAAATCCAGGAGGCATCATTCACGTCACCGATCAGCTTCTAGCCCTACGTTGGTTTATAAGTATTGGGATGTCCCACCTCCTGGGTTTGAGCACGTCACTCCTGCTCAGTACAAAGCCCTCCAAGCTTCTGGTCAAATACCTGTAAACGTATATGCTGCAGGTCAAGTACCAATGCCGGTTCATGCACCGAATGCGCCTTTAACACTTACGACTAATGTCCCATTTGCTGGAAGTGCTGTTTGCAGACAAGCCCGCCGGTTGTACGTCGGTAACATACCGTTCACTGCAACAGAGGAAAATATGATGGAGTTTTTCAACAAGCAGATGCGTGCTCAAGGTTTGATTCAAGCAGAAGGCAACCCTATTATTGCAGTGCAAATAAACATGGAGAAAAATTTCGCCTTCTTGGAATTTCGTTCAGTAGATGAAACAACTCAAGGTCTTGCTTTAGATGGTGTTTTGTTCCAAAATCAAGCATTAAAACTTCGCCGACCGCGCGATTATGCTCCCTTGCCTGGTGTCTCAGAGCAACCATCGGTTATCGTTCCGGGTGTGGTTAGTACGGTCGTGCAGGATTCTCCCCATAAGATATTCGTCGGTGGTCTTCCAAACTACTTGAACGAAGATCAAGTGAAGGAATTACTTCTAAGCTTCGGCCCTTTAAAAGGGTTCAATCTTGTCAAAGACGGTTCTACCGGTTTATCTAAAGGTTATGCTTTCTGCGAATATGTTGACGCGAATGTTACAGATCATGCCTGTGCTGGTTTAAATGGCATGCAGTTAGGTGATAAAAAACTCATTGTACAGCGTGCCAGCGTTGGAGCAAAGCACACGACTGGTGTTATTCCCCAAACTATGCTATCGCTACCAGGTTTGGAAGATGGTACCGTCCAAAATACAACCGGTTCAGGAAACATAACAATTCGCAGTGGTGGGCCACCTACTGAGGTTCTTTGTTTAATGAATATGATCGAGACCTCAGAGCTAGAAGATGATGACGAATATGAAGATATAGTTGAGGATGTTCGTGCTGAATGCAGTAAATATGGTGTCGTTCGCAGTCTGGAAATACCTCGACCAATTCCTGGAGTTGATGTTCCAGGAGTAGGAAAAATATATGTCGAATTTGCCAGCTTAATCGACTGTCAGAAAGCTGCAACGGCGTTAACGGGTAGAAAATTCAACCAGCGACTCGTGGTGACGTCTTTCTTCAGTCCTGATAATTACCACCGCAGGGAGTTTTAAATCTGACTGTTTTTAGATGTAAATATTATGCGATTCTGATTATTTCATTAAGGTAATCATTGATTCATATTCTACGGTATTTGACTTATTTTTTTCTAAGATGGTTGTATGTACTTTGGGATTAAAGATATTAGCAACCTGGATGGTGAATACACTTCTTTGTCGTAGCTTAAGCCTAGTTACCGTAAATTTGTCGGTGTAGCTGTCTTGTTAGATTTTCATTCAGTGACCTACGTAATTGCCTTGGACAAAACTGATTTCCTGCGCCTTCAAGAAGTCACTTTGGCCAATTACAAGGTATCTAGTCCCGCTTAGATGTGTTCAGTATTCGAAGTTCTCGGTATCGATTAGGAAAGCAGGCCAATATGAAATAGTCGTGAATAGATAAGTCTTAAGATCGTTCACCAAACATTGACTTTAGCGGATTATCTGACCAGTTCGTCGGGGGGTCGTTCGTTTTGTGTAAAAATCAGTCGTCTACGGGTGTTATACTCCTAATCAGTGGGCCCATCTGTAAATTGTGCTGCTGGTCTACTTTTCTGATAATTGCACCACTGTTAGTCAACCTGGAACATACTCCTCTCACTGTGTTTTCCTTACACAAAATGGGTTTAGTGATAATGTAGTGGCGATGTGAAGTTAGGTCGGTGTCCCATGCGTGCCAATGTACGAATTCGTGAGGGTCTGTCGTAGATGACTAGGACGTACTGGGCAAGTGAGAGGTTAATAAAAACATCGACCATAGAGGAACTGGTTTGAAGGGTCCCGAGGGTCACAGCGTATGGTCTAGGGACACCATACTTACAGGAATACTCAGTCTGCAATGTTATACTAACGACCAGTTGGCTCTGAAACTAGACGCTATGGCACCCAGGGAGCTTCTGGTCGCTTCTTAATGTTGACAAAAGAATAAAGCAGTCTTTAGCCGTTGGTAACTAATCGCGGTCATTCATCTCAGCAGAACAGGCGTGACTTTCGTAAGTGCCATGATTTCGCTGCATAGACTCGTGTTTGTCATCATTGTGTTAGCCTTAAACCATATTTACCCTGAGTTGATAAATGTTTCGGGATGGAGCATCGCGTACTACTGACATATTCAGTAAATACATTGACTCTACCCATAGATTCGCGTGGAATGTGCCGATAACGTAATCCTGTATGGTGAAGATGGTGACAGAATTCAGTCTCCCAACTAACTTGAGCAACAATGCAAGCATATTCAGGATGCTATTTTCTCCCTCAGCACCTAAACTAGCGACTTGGTTGGCCGCTTCTCATCTGTCCTAGTGTCTGGCGAAACGGCACGAATACAGTAGGCTCGACTGGCGTCTGCCAACCTGCGTCACTTGTGGTGTAGACGAGATATCCGTCCGCTAAACTAGGAACGAGTCTGCTGCGCATCAGTTCGCTTTGTTTGAAACATAATGACCGAGAATAGAGGACAGTCATAGTCTACTGGTGTTCCGTCAGACGCGCCTTCGAAGTGCTTCTGATATATCCCGGGCTTGCCGACTACGGGATGCTAGCGTCAGACACTCGGTAAGGATGGCAAATCAATTGATGAATATTCATCAGTTGAGGTGGCTGGAATGTGTTACGTATACCTAACTACTTTGACGAGCGGTGCTGTCCGATGTAAAGATGGCCGAAGCTAAACGTGAGACAATTTCATTAAATCAGTGACAACTGGACTAAGCCATTTTAGTAGGTGTAGACCACCTAGTTGGGTCCACGAGACATTGTAACTGATTATCAGAGACTTTGAATGACCGCTGAAAACCATGTATTATTAGTAACCCAATGAGTCGAGATTTTCTGACATTCCGCGACCAAGTCTAAGTCACTTTTGTTTGTTCTTTGAAGCCGTGGCTTACATTGAGTCTCGTAACGTCATAAAAATTATTTGTCCACTCTTAGGAATACTAGAAGTACATAGTTTTTACTATTAACAATCCACGCAGTGCTCAGTTTATTCGAAATTATCATATCAGACTTCGGTAATGACACATGTAGCTTAAAATGTTTTTACAATGGTGCAGATGCAATCATCCTTTAACTTATGTCGAGTTCTGGGATCCCCACAAGCTATTCTTCCTTTGGATTTACTTCACTGCATAATACTTCTCGAATCGTATCTTCGAACCCTAATCTTCTTTATTGTTGCCAATATTTCTACTACCTCATGTCTTAGAAGCGGTCTTTGAGTGCGAATAATAACAATTAATGCCAAGTATGGGAACTGATATTTACCAAATGACTTAAAACTGAAATACATGACATTGTGTACAGACACATATATTTACATGAAAATCGGAGTTTAAAGTAATTGTTCGGAGCTCATGTAATCATTCAGGTATCCCGGCAGACTTCCCTTGTCTTCTCCATATGATGACTGAACCCTTTTCGTCTGCTGATGCTAACATATTCTCTTCCCAACTGATTGCAACATCTAATACCGGAGCTGTATGTCCCTGTAAAATAGTGACAACACCTGCAGATGTTTGTTTGCTGTGAGAGGAACTATTTTTTATTACAGGGTCTGTAGTACGACTTCCTAACACATTGTATAAGTACACATTACAATCTTCACTCCCACTTACAGCGCAAGCTCCAGAACGGAATGATATGAGTGGTGCGAAACACGAATGGATAAGACGAAGTTTTGTTGGGACAGAAGTGAGAGGACGATGGTAGGAGGGGAATCTTTGTTCTAAAATCAAGTTTCTATCATGTAATGTTAATCGAAGCAACAATAGCCCGATACCAGCTGCATTGACTAACAGATAAGTTTCACTTTTTTCTTTGGACAACCAAGAGTATATCGAAAGACTAGTTATGCTGGGCATTAGTGATGTACTTCCGCTATGCGACTTAACTAAATCATCATCATGCATACGTGTTCGATTCTTTGGACTATTCCACTTTCTAAAACTTAGGTCTGTTTTAGATAGGAAATAGATTTTCCGAGTGTTCGTTGTCCCTTCGTGCAATAAATCATTAAGTTTTATCCCATTCTCAGGGTACGTTGAAACAACAGACATACTCAACGATGATATGTCGAAACGTTGTGATCTCATGATACAACCTGTTGATGATTCACACAAATAGGACTGAATTATGCCTCGATCAGTTCCTACCCACAAGTAATTGCCCGTTGCATTTTCAAAAGCCAAAGTTGTAATGCATCCTTTACCCAGAAGACTTTGTAATTCAGTCACCGACAAACTTGGACGAGTTTTTCTACCTCGAGTCGCTGTGTGGATACGATCCATGCCTCCAACACAAGCTTTACCAGTAGAGAGATTCACCATCTAAACGGAACATGAGAATAACTTGAAATAGAACAAAGGCTCCGAATATATAAGGCGAATGTAAGTGATAAAAGTACTCTACAGGATTAACTAAATGCTGGGCAGTAAGACATAGACCGCACACGGACAGTATGAATAAACTTCAAATAAAGTGTGGGAATAACGGTTGTGCTCCGATAACAACTCAAATACCGTATTCTAAATCAGAATAAGTTAATAAAAGCCTAGTGCTCAATATATTTTCTGTTAAGTTCACGGAATACATAATAGGAATCTAAAACAGTGCACTCAAATAGAAAAATATCAGCAACTTCAGTGATAAGCTAAATCAAGGTAACTAGAACAAAGCTGCCACCTAATTAACAAACGACTGTTCATATAGTTTAAGTACGGGTGGGAAGGGCAGATCACGTAAACCCATCAACATCGACATCTGAGTGACCTAGTAACATAAAACCTGGCGCAAGTGGCATCAGGTGAAGTTGTCGTACCATACATCAAGACGGCAAGATGAATACAAAGGAAGTAGTATCAATGGTACCGAAAAAGACTAGGTACCAGGAGAATAAATTTGCAGGATTAAAGGTATAAAATGATTTTGAAACTAGTGAGAGATAGAATGAGCACAGGTCTTTATGCCATATGGTACTGAATTGTTCGATTTATATGTAAGCGCTACCGCGAACAAGCACTTGACGAGGTTACCAACAGTAGCGGTCCCGAAATACAAATAATGAGAAAAATTGACACCATATTTCGTTTACTAATTTATTCATAAACAGTCTTTATAAGACCTAAGGACTACAACAGATGAGTATTTAGCTCATAATTAAGATGAAATAGTTTATCTTAATTACTATTTTGTATAAATCGCCCTAGTACGGCTGTGAATGGGGAGAGCTTCCTCTCGTTGGAACGACCTCATATGGTAAACATGTACATAGCTTATGAACGACGAGGACGAAAATGGTATATCCGGCGCTTAAACCAGGTTGGTAGATACAGAGCATCTACCTAGGGGAGTCGGGAAACCCGTAAGCTGCAGGAAAAAAGGCATATGAACCAATTATTGGTCACCAGCTGACATGGAACCTGACTCCCTAACGTTTTTGCACTGCCTCTTGGATAAGTCCTCTGGGTCAAAGGTTTGGGGAGTGGCGCCCTCTCAAGAGAGTCGGCTGTTTTGATTACGACACCTGTGTAGTGTCTCAGCCCACGCAAAATTTCAGTGATCAGTGTGGGGAAAATATACCGTACACCAATCTTTGTGCTTGAAGAAATTATTTGTTCAGATATTACGTCATTTAAAGAACACTGAAAAAGTCGCTGGGAAATAGCAGGCTGTTGACAAGCCTACTACTGTTAAGTATTAAATACAGAAAGCCCTCCAAAATATTTTCAAATGCTAGTCTGTATGTATATTCTAAGAACACTAAATTATTCAAATAATGCATCTACCTGAATAATTCCAGTGACACTACCAACGGCAAAAATATTATTGTTTGCAGGTTGGAAGGCACATGTCAACAGTGGACCGAGTTTAAGTTCCGTGTTTGAATACTCTCGAGCCAGCTTAGCTTCTCCAACATCCCATAAACATATATTTCCATCTAAAGACGTACTTGCTAAAAATTCGTTTGTCATAGACCAGGCCAAATCTGTAATTTCTGTCTGTTTTACACGATATTCTGGTAGGACACATGCAATAGAAAAGTTTCCATTAGCTGGAGAGATACAGCAAATGGATATAGTACCGTCGGACGAAGCTAGAGCTAAACGACTCGAATCATGATTTGCAAAGCTCAGACGATTTACGGCGCCTAGACGAAAGGGGAACCGATAAAGACATTATTTTAGGTAGAATACAGAAGGGTTAAGATCTACTGACTAGGACAGAGCTTTGGTTGCAATTACAGTTTACTACGGTTATGAAATCTGAAAAAAAGTGAGACAGATATTTTGTAACCAACAGAGTTGGAAGCACTAAAATATATCTAAATCCATGTGTGAACGTTTCTATATAATAAAAATGATTTCTATTAGTGAGTAACTTATTGTTACTAATAGATAAATAATTAAACTTACAATCATTGAATCATGTGTTCAAACCCGGCCACTTACGATCTTAGAGCAGGGGAATATCACTAGCTTACTGGACATAAGAAAGACAGCAAATAAATCCCTTAAAATCCTACTTAACGATAAGAAAGCCAAGATTATATGTCAGGAGCAACTAGAGGAATTTAGAAAACCACGTAAGCGATGCTCATCCTGAGGCAGCTAGGAATGATAACCAAAATGTTGTAGAAACTGCAGTGATGTCTGCCAGTAAGTTAAACCAAAACGGAGAAAATTAGTGGATTTCACTGGCAACTTCCGAACTGATAGATGTTCGGAGAATCGCCCCTTCTGATTCTGAATACGATGGGGAGCGGAGGCAGCTTAAATACAGGCTAATAGAAAGCCTAAAAAATGATCGCGAATAGTGGTGGGTGGCGAAAGGAAGAGATAGAAATGGAATCACCGACAGGTAGCAGACGACAATTGTTCAAACTTATCAAGCAAACTGGTATTAGAAATTCGAATGTTGGCGAGAATACCTCGGAAAAAGATGGGACTATTATGCATTCTCATTTCAGGGGATCGGAGTGAAGTTGAAAAGGTAATAGGCCATCTAAAGTAGGGGAGAACAACAGGTCCTGCCAGGTTAACTCCTGGGATTTTGAAGGGTAGAGATCCAGTTTTAGCAGTGAGATTGACTGAGATCTTGGGTAGAATTCGGTAACTGGATGTAATCCCATCCGAGTGGTCTCAATCACTGATTGTCCCAGTCTACAAAAACAACAGAAGTCCTCTTGTGACAATCACAGAGGAATCAGTTTAACTAATGTAGTATCTGATGTATTGGCCTCAATAATACTCTGACGCAAAACTAGAGCTCGTGAAGTACAAACTCAAGAAAACCAGGCTGATTTCAGACCTGGACGTGGATTTATAGACCAAATATTCACACTTTATCAGGTCCGAGAACATAGGCACACGTTCAGACGTCCCACAATAGTAGTAATTCTCGATCTTAAAGCAGCAACATGGCCGGTAAGATTTGAGGATATTTGTAGGTTATTAGTATTCCATTATAGATGTCTTCGAACAATTGCTCGTGTATCGTAGGACAATCGAGTAAGCAATGCTGTTGTTAGTAAACAAGTACTAGGTAGGGATGGCAAACCAGAGATGAAGTATTGAAAATTCATAGGTTGAGGTGGTTGGGACATGCGTTACCTATGCCTAACCACCAACTGCCTCGATGAGCTAAGTTTTGCGATGTGGGAATAGGTAGTAAGAAAGCTAGTGGCGGCCAAACCAAAACATGGCACAAATCCATGAAGTCACTGACAAGTGGACTGAGTCATGTTGCTAGATGTAGGCTACCTGGTTAGGATCCGCGAGACGATAGTAACCAATGGTTAGAGACCTTGAACGACATGTCAGTCAGTCAGATGCAACGCAGAACTTCATCGGCATATTCTAAGTCAATAAGCAAGCCTCCTGGTAGAAGGTCTACTACTGAAAATTAAGACGAGGACAGGGTTATATCTAGCAGCATGTCTATGATAAAACTAAACGAGAATGGAGAGAGTGGACAGCCCTGACGGACACCACTTGAAGTAAGGAATTCCGACGACTGTTCGTCATGGGGGTTATCACTCGACCTGTAGTGTTCGAGTAGAGAGCTTGTATAAGGTCAAGGTACTTCTTTGGTACACCTTTCAATGACAGACATTGCCACATAATCTCAAGATCCACAGAGTCAAATGCCGCCTTAAGGTCCAGGAAAACAACTATTGTCGGACGTATAGATGTGTGTCTGTGTTCCAGGATCTGTCGTAGTGTGAAGATGTGGTCTATACAGCCACGTCCAGGTCGAAAACCAGACTGGTTTTCTCTAGTCTGCTCTTCACGAGCTTTCGTTAAGCGTCGAAGTATTATTGCGGCCAATATTTTAGATACTATATTAGTTAGACTTATTCCCCTGTGATTGTCACAAGAGGACTTTCGTCCTTCCTTATAGATTGGGACAATCAGTGATTGAGACCACTCGGATGGGATTACGTCCAGTTCCCAGATTCTACCTAAGATCTCAGTCAACCTAGCTGCTAAAACTGGACCACCATCCTTAAATATCTCAGGGGTCAGTCTATCAGGACCTGCAGCTCGCCCTCGCTTCAGATGTTCTATAGCCTTTTCAACTTCATAAAGGTTCGGAGGGCTTACGTCGACTTGCCATTTAGGGTGCTTTGAGATCGTGGGTAACCGAAGAGTGGCTGAAGGCCAGTTGAACTGATCCCTAAAGTGTTCTGCCCTTCGGTCCAGTCTCCTAGATTGAGAATGGATAGTAAGACCATCCTTTTCCAAAATAGTCTCACTCACATTCGGGTTCCTAATGCCAGTTTCCTTGATAAGTCGGAAAAGTTGTCTACTGTTGCCTATCGCCGCTGCCTTTTCCATCGCTTTTGCTTTCGCCACCCACCACTGTTCGCGGTCGTTACGCAGACTTTTTATAAGTCTGCGCCTAAGCTGACTACGCTCTTCATCATGCTCAGAGTCAGGTGGGATGCGTTTTCGAGCATCCATCAGTTCGGTGGATGCGACTGAAATCCACGGCTTCATCTTAGCCTTAAGGTTTACTTTGCTAGCAGATATCACTGCTGTTCCCACAGCCTTTCTGATATCATTCCAACCTGCTTCCTAGATAGGAATCGCTTACATGGTTACCTAACTATCTTTCTAGTTGCTCCTAAAATATATTCTTCGCTTTATTATCATTAAGTAAAACCCTAAGAGGCTTTCTTACGGTGTCTTTCCTATGTCCAGTAAGCCACAAACAAATACGAGCTCGCACTAAGGCGTGATCTGAATCTAAACATGTGCCCCAGAACGAGCGACAGTACTCTATCGAACCCCTCCATTGGTGGCTGATGGCAATGTGATCTAGCTGGGTCCAACCTCGAGACGACCTTGGGGGTCACTAGGTCAAGAGATGCTTTTCCTTATGTCTAAAGTTAGTGTTTGCTAGGAATAAGCGGTTATCTGAGCATAGCTGCAGCAGACGGTCGCCATTGTCTGTTCTCTGAGCCGCAAGACCATAACATCCACCTAGGTGTCTCTCCTGCTCACTTAGTCTACCTACTTAAGCATTAAAGTCACCAGCCATTATTACTATATCAGAGCGCTTAACTTTTAGGAGGAGGTCCGAAAGCTTTCTGTAAAACTCATCTTTAACCTCGTCTGAACTGCAGTCAGTGGGGGCATAGGTAGATACGGCGAAGAGGCAACGGCGAGTGTCCCTATCCTTCCGAGTCCTTAATGTCCCGTTCAGTCGAACAACGCACAAGCGACTATCTACTGGGATCCAGTCTAGGAGATACTTCGGCCCAACAACTCAGGCTATACCTAAACCAGCGAGACCCCGGGAAGCAGCATCAGGGCTACCGGATACACGAAGAGTAAATCGGGCTGCTTCTTTGTTTTTATAAGGTGAAATCAAATTAATGATTTTACTACGATCTTGTATGCGCGTTTCCGAGACGCAGCATATATCGATGGCGCGATATTCTAAAGTCCTAGCTAATGAAGCCTGTTGCCCTATTTGACACAATGTTCGTACATTAAATGCTCCAACATCTGGTCTAAAACGGGGTTTCAAGAGACCGGGAATGACGTTTCGTTTGCATTAGCGGTGCAGTGAGATAAGGGAATGTATGTAGTGCCTCCACATACATTCGAGTTTGCTTACATATAATTTAGTTAAAGCCCTTTCGATTAATTTATAAACCAAGCCATTTGTATTGCAACAATTTATATGTACCATTCGTTCTTATTATTGTCTGGTTTGTATGAGCTCATGTGACTTGTCCCACTTGTCTTTTTACCTCGTCAACCATTCGTCGCTTTTATTCATGTGTGTGCATGCCTATCTCGTTGGTCACATGTCTGTCTTATTTTCGTCTGACTACAAATTCTTAGTCAGGCTCTATCTCTTGGAGTTGGCTCACTTGCCATCTCCAACGCGCTTCTTCAATTCACGTCGCTTCATCCCTTTTATTCACTGATTCTTCGTTTCTCTTTATGGTGTGTCCCAAATAAACGTATTCATCACTACGAGTTCACCTTCTGAGTTATAAACCGTCAGACGCTATTTAGTAACGACAGTCTGGACGAGCTACTTACCGAGCTTAAGAACGCGCAGTAAATTGACACACTGCAAAAAGTAGAGTTAGTCGTGGACAGAAGAGAGGTATGTGTGGGTGTAGGAAGGATTTGATTTCAACCAATTTGGTGTCATGTGCCGTTACGGGTACGAGGGCGATTGTCACTTCCCGACTGCCCACACCATGGAAGGTTGTTTCTTGAGGGACCTGAAAAGGAAGATAGATTAGTGTTGGTCTTAGAGACCTGGGAGCGTGACCGCAGAGTCCAAGGGACAACTGATTGAGGCCGGTCACGCACGGCCTTTTTATGAGAATTTTTTTGAGTGTTAGCTCCGCTCTTGAAAGCCCTTAGTAGGCACCCTTACCGACGGAGACGGAAATCCCTGAGGTAGGGTGAGGTGTGACATTTTTAGGGTCGACCTTTTCTAACCCTTCCTTCCTTGTGAGAAGGCAGCATCGCTGCAGATGCTGATTGAGGGAAACACCTTACTGCTGTCACACCCCTCTGCAGTCAGCAGTACGACTTCGCCCTGAGTAGCTGCTTTTAGTCTCGTTCTCCAATCGACCTGCCTGGCATGGTAGAACCTTCAGGAACATATGTTCCAGCCAATATAGCTCGGTTGGGTTATTACGACCACCACGTCAAGGTAGCAGCTACGGTCGGGTAGAACGACATGGCTCAAAATCGTTTACAATGGCACAGGTGCATCCACTCTTTGTGTTCTATGAAATTCTAATATTCTGAATTTCTTACTACTTCTCCTAAACTTATCTCACTGAATTATACTTCTTGAATAATATCTTCGTACCCTAATCTTCTCCGTTACCGCTAATACTTCTACAATCTCTACCATTATGGGATTTGAACTGACAATCGAGTCACCATGCTAATGTGGTATGGCAACTTGAACTTATGTGCGTACATACGAAGCTCTACGTTGTAACTGACTGAGACTGACATCTGGCATGGAGATGTACTAAATTTAACTTTTTAAATAAACTTACCAGAGTGGTGGTCAAAAATATGCTCAATACCAGAAAACGCATAACTTTCTCCTAAAGTTTCTGTTCTTCCAGGTGTCATATAATCCGAAGATATGTCCTAAATTCGGATGTAAGAGCAGTTACAAAAGACTTTAGAGATTCAGTACGACTAAAAAAGTTAACAATGTTAAGCAAACAGCGAAAAAATCTACACACAAAAATGATGCAAACTTTGAGGCCTGAATATCTATAAACTATTAAGTGAATTAAACACCTTAATCAATCAATCAAATAAGAACTTTAAAAAAATTTTAACGATGATCTGCGGTATAACACTTTGTAGAATATTTTTTGTAGTAGAAGAGAAATACTATAGGTTACTGGGAAGATGAACGAAATAAAAGTTTGATGACAATCAAAACTGCTAATTAGATGTCTGTATGCTTGGTCAAGGGATCAAAGTTGATATCTTTCAAATACCCAATAAGGAAAACCATTAGTTAAGCGTGCAGACAGATCTGGAGTAAAAAGTGGTTGATGGTAAAATGGAGAAAACCTGATGTGCAGACACCTATTATTTTATAACCAACCATAGTGTTGTTATTGTGCATCAGGACAAACTCCGGTCCGTTGGAAAGGACTGTTTTCCCAGATATTCCATTTGGGAAGGTTGTGACTGAGAAGCTTAATAACATATTGAAGGCTAACACCTTAGACAAAGTGAGGGCATACAACCACCTCTCCACTGTTTCATTCAAGCAGTGGGTTTAAGCAGGGTTGGCTAATCTCACCATTTCTCTCCAACTTTGCCATCGATGGTGTTCTAGGAATAGTTCTAATGGATGTAGGCAATCGTGGAATGGGTCTGTTACCTGGGGAAAGACTTATCAACCTTCGGTATGCGGCAACGTAGCAGCTATGGTCTGGGATATTGTTTTACTATGCGATGATACCCAAGTCATGCAGTACGTACTTAATCAGTTGGCAACTAGTGACTGTAAGTATGCTTTGCACCGCCTAAGTACAAGATACTTTGGCAGGACCGGAAAGACCTGTACTCACTCCTGGTCAAAAGTAATCTGGAAGTTTGTTAATCTCGGTAGCATGTTGGTGAGGGCATGGTCTACAGTGAGTCGGTGAGAGTAGTTTTGCTCTATGCTTGTGAAACCTGGCCTCTCCAAGCTGAGGATGTCAAGCGACTCTCCACGTTCGATCGTCGTTTCCTCCGAAGGATTGCTGACATCCGGTGATAATACTAAATTAGTGCAGAGGTTCAGCAATATGTGCTCGGGAACACTGACAATAATTAAATTAGTGTCACAATCTCAAAACAACGGCTTCGGCGACTACCTGGTCGCAAAATAAATATCGGTGTTGCGTGCAGGTCAACTGGAAATAATCGGACGAAGCTTAAACTAGCAGCGGCTAAGGTTCACAGTAGATCTCAATGTGGACACTTCATGAATCCATCCGGTAATCATGAGAAAGTAGAGCAAAAGCCTGAAAGAAAGTGATAGTAAGCATATTCTGTTTGGATATGTTCGACAACTAAAATTACGAAGCTGTAGCTAGGCTACAATAAAGGTTTAAAAATACTTACACATGAAGACTTAGCGATGGAATAGTTCAACAAGGAAGGTTGTTTTGTGCTTTCGTCGTAGCTCCTAGTCTTATTTATGCTTGACTGAGGTGAGACAGACTTGCGAGTTTTTACTGAACCGTAAAGAGAGAGTAATAGTTGCTCACGAATGTTCCTGTAGGCAACAAAAGACGTGACAGAGGTTTCAGCCGGATATTGAGAACTACAAAATGAATCAGGTTGCTTGAATGCCTCGTTTACACTGAGTGTAACTTTTTCTCTTGTTAATTGGTTTCTTCTTCGAAGATAGAGTTGTCTTAATTCAGTATTTGATTTTGTCACTGGTCTGACAGCGCTATAGCGAGAGTCTAAAGCCAGGATCTGCTGCCAAACATCACATGACATGGTTGTTTTGGTGGGCTTAGAAGTTTAGAATCTATCGAGGTTCCAACATTTGGACGCAAAGATGATCTTTACGGATCCTTGTAATCAACAGTATCGCGGATATCCAACTTTGCCTTGAAGGTATCAGAAACAGATGCTGGCAATACAAGATATAGTAAAGAGCTCCTGTGGTCACACTCCAGTATAAAAAACAAGTAACCTGAGGATGTTTCCTTGGATGATTGATTCTGAAAGAAAAGCCAATCAAGAATATTAAAACAAACATCGTAATTCAAAATACACGGAAGATAAAACTACGGGACAACGTTAGAAGGTTTTAGATTTTCTTCGTAATTGAAGCTAGAAGGCTATTTTTGATATTTCAGCTCTTTCCCTTTGAACCCGAACTATAATGTTCAATCCATAATTACAACAAAACAACTGCTTGGATTCCTAGTTACAAATTTCGCCTGAAATATTTTGGATTTTTTAATCCGAGGAATGGTTACATTCTAGCTCTGAAAGACTTTATAAAGGTAAAAGCAGCTGTATTTAATTTACTGAGTCATAAAGCAGCGTATCATCACTACAGCTGTGGTGCGAGCTACTTATAAGTAGTATATGACGTGAGTGTCAACGTAATGTCTGGCAGCAGAAGATGGGGGAAAATCAAGAAAGGAAGAGTTAGAACACAATGGAATTTGTATGAAATACATGAATAATGACAATGGATTGATGTTTTGCAACAGGAACAGTCCAGTTCGATATGATGAACTGATATTTTGCAAATTAACGATTTACGATATGGTTTTCCGATTTTACTAAGTAACTCTGTAATTTTCGTTAAATACAATTCGGTTGCCCCACCTGTGTTCTCGTTCACTACACAGTTAAATGACACCAAACTGAAAAGAAATTTGATTAGTGCTTTACTAGTACTAACCACGGAGCTGTTCACTGGTCTAGTGGTTCTAAGTCCATAGTTAACTTCGTTTTTAACTACACTGTGTACGTTATCTCATTTTTGACTCAGTCTGCAAACACAAATGGGGTAACTTTGTCACCCGTAATAGGACATCCACAAGAACTAAGCAGACAATGTACATGTCTAAGGACGTTCGGCTAGATACTTATCAGGAAATACCTCAAGGGCTGAGTAGCATATACGTCCGTGTTTACAGTTATTCTTAAAGCCAGATTGTTTTAATGCTTGAAAATCTATTTGGTTGGCAACATCATCAATATATGAGATGCCAAACTCACAAGCATCTTCACATTAAACAATAAGTACTTACTGCAACAGATTTTGTTTGTGTTGTGGTGTCCTATCTACTACGTGTAGTGTATTGAAGAAAACAGGTCAGAAATCTAGCGCAATGTTAAAAATCAGGACGCAAAACTAAAAAAACTCGGCCTGCAACCCCTCTGGGCTACTGTCGGTTCCAAGACCGGATTGGGTTGGGCATGGGGTTAGTGACCCCATCCCATAGAAGACTGACTGGCTAAAAAACGCTAACCAGAAAACATAACTCAAACCATTTTAACTCTGCCCTGGGAGTTAGGTCTTTTTTCAGAATATTGTGATGTCTCACGATGAAAGCCGAGTTTCTTCGGAAGTCACGAGGCCGATGCCCTTTCTCACAACCGGAGAAACCATCATTCTAGGTAAATGGAATGTCCGAAGATTGTGGGAGACCGGAAGACTACTACACGTTCCCGCAGAAATGAAAAGATACAACCTAGAAGTGCTTGTATTCAGTGAGACACACTGGACGCAAGTTGGACAACTGAGTCTAGCTCCAGGAGAGCTGCTGTTATACTCCAGAGCTGAAGAAAAAAATGATCTGCATACACAAGGAGTTGTACTGATGCTGTCCAGACAAGTACTAAAGGCACTGATAGGGTGGGAATCTCATGGACCCGGGATCATTAGAGCATCTCTCAAAACAAAGAAAGAGGACATTACAATGAACGTCATCCAATGAAATACACCTACCAAGGACAACGATGACGATGTTAAGGACCAATTCTACGGGAGGCTGCAGTCAATCGTCGACGGATGCTCGCCGAAGGATTTGATGATTCTGATGAGAGACCTAAATACCAAGGTTGGCATGGACAACACTGGATATGGAGACATCATGGGACGGCATGGACTAGGAGAAAGGAACGACAATGGAGAGATCTGGAAATCCATATGCCTTCAATCAACTGGTCATCGGTGGCACAATATTCCCACACAAGCGCATACACAAAGCTAATTGGATTTCACTGGATCACACTACTCAGAACCAAATCGACCATGTCTTTACCAATAAAAAGTTTAGCAGGACCATGGAGGACATGAGAACCAAGAGAGGGGCTGATATAACTTCAGATTACCACTTCCTGGTTGCCAAAATGAAACTGAAACTAAAGAAGCACTGGACAACGGGGCAGACAACATCACACAAGTTTAATATGGCGTTTATTCGAGATCCTGAAAAGCTCATTGAATTCAAGATAGCCCTCAACAACAGTTTTCAGGCCATGCACGATCTACTCAGTGTGAAGGAAACTACCATGTGGAACTATTCGAAAGCGATTAAGGAGGCAATTACTCCAACATGTCACAAGATTCCGGGCCACAACAAGTACCACCATGAGGAATGGATCTCTGTCGGTACACCTGAAAAAACCGAAGAAAGGAGGAAAAAGAAAGCAGTTATGATGCAGTTTGACTGTCTGGACTTTGCACATGATTTGGCTCTCCTATCGCACATTCAACAACAAATGCAAGAGAAGACGAACAGTGTAGCAGCAGCCTCAGCAGCAACTGGTCTCTACTTACATAAAGGGTAAAGCAAGATTATCCAATACAACACTACATGTGCCAACCAAATCACTCTTGATGGAGATGCCTCGGAGGACGTAAAAACCTTTACATATCTGGACAGCATCATCGACAGTCAAGGTAGATTGGATGCAGATGTGAAGGTGCGGATCGGCAAATCAAGGGCCGCATTTCTACAATTGAACAACATCTGGAACTCAAAATAACTGTCAACAAACACTAAAGTCACAATTCACAATACAAATATCAAGAGAGTTCTGCTGTATGGGGCGGAAACTTGGAGATCTACGAAAGCCATCATCCAGCAGATACAAGTATTCATTAACAGTTGTCTACGCGAAATACTTCGGATCCGTTGGCCAGACACCATCAGCAACAACCTACTGTGGGATAGAACAAAACAAATTCCAGAGTGACAGGAAGTCAGAAAGAAGAGTTGGAAGTGGACAGGACACATATTGAGGTAAGCACCCAACTGCGTCAGAAGTCAAGTCCTCACTTCGAACCCTCAGAAACAAAGGAGAAGGGAAAGACAAAGAAACACACTACGCTGAGAAACGGAGAAAGATATGAGAAGAATTAACAGAAACTGGACAGGACGTAGAACTTCGTATGTACGTACATAAGTTCAAGTAGCCATACCACATTAGCACGGAGACTCAATTGTCAGTTCAAATCCCATAATGGCAGAGATTGTAGAAGTATTAGCGGTAACGGAGAAGATTAGGGTACGAAGATATTATTCAAGAAGTATAATTCAGTGAGATAAGTTTAGGAGAAGTAATAAGAAATTCAGAATATTAGAATTTCATAGAACACAAAGAGTGGATGCACCCAACTGCGTCAGAAGTCAAGTTCTCACTTCGATCCCTCAAGGTAAAAGGAAAAGAAGAAGGCCAGGAAGTAGAGAAAGATATGAAAATAAACAAAAATTGAACAGAGCTGGAAAGGGAAGCGCAAGAAAGAGTAGTTCGGGGAACACTGGTCGGTAGCCTACGCTCCATTGGAGATGAAAGACTTAAAAACTAAAAAGGCAAACCAAATGAAGTTGGATCGGGTTTTCAGATGGGACTGGTAAAAGCATAATATGCTGTCGACGTTGAGCAACCTATCAATTAGTCAGGAAGCGGCACTCGGTTAAAATGCATTCGACAGCTAAAAGCAACAAAATTCCGATGAACTAAGAGATATGACTATAATAAGCAACCCTCGAAAGTAGAATTATTCCTTGTAATAGAAGGGAAAGGCTAAGACTACATTAAAAGTCGAGCTAGTGCTATGGACTAGGAGTATCACCGCACAGTTTCCTTCATGAACTGGGAATAGGAAGAAGGTTAATATAATCTAGCTGCAATAAACATACTAGACAGCAAACTGAATAACATATACTTCAACATACAGTTTGTCTTGAGAGTAGTTCTTTGAAGATTTAACTTGAGCAAAACCTTGAAATGACTTTTCAATCTTGCGATGGAGATTCTTACTGCAATTAAGCATTCCGAGGACAAAATAACGACAATTACTACTTTGTTAAAAATAACATTCAAGCTACCTATCGCTGCACTTCAAATTCTGCGCGAAATACATTAGGCGTTATCATAATCCTGATTGGTTAAAGAAATATTATGTTTTTACCGACAATCAACAATTAAGGTCAGTATTCAGAGTTAGGGTTTCCATCAGGAGAAGATACCGGCTATGATACATGAGCATCGTTTAAAGCACAGTGAATAAATGCTGAATCAAAGGTCATTTTCTTCTTTGCTTATGCAACCTTGAAAAACGGCGACCATGAATTTACGTTAGTTAATTTGATCTCCTTACATTTGAGTTTTTTTCAGATATCTTCACATTAAAGTATTCTACTATTGCATTAGAAACATAAAATAACTGCGAATTTCATACCAGCTTGACTGTTATTGCTTGACTTATACGTGGGAACGTTTCAAAATCTTTTGACTTTGAGGAATTTCGAGGTTAACATCGAACTCATTCTAGAACTCTTTGTTTTCTTCAGAGCTAAGGTAAATTTCAGGGAGGGACTTTGCTCGATAGGACCTCAACACATTTGTTAGAGACTTGATTAGGTCTAGAAACCAGTATAATATCAACAAGGTAAACAACAAATTATAAATACTTCAATTTAGTATAAATCGCTACAAAAAACTCTACAGTGTTATTATAACAGCTTACTTCACCTTCCCTTCTTCTAATATATAAACCTAACCCTTTCCAGTGAGATTATAATCTTTAAACAACTCAGTGAAATCTAATAACTCATTCTCGAGTCCCCTTGGGGGTACTGCGCTTGATAACACACGTTTTGTGCTACATATCCTTCTGTAAAATAAAATGTCGATCGGCTATTTGAAACAAGAGATCTCAGTCTTGTGGTTACTTAAGGTGCGATTATGGTTTTTGTTTTCTGTAAGTGGTATCTGCAACCACTGGTAAAACTGGGAATCATTTACATATATTATTATTATGCAACTAAACACGACCTCAGTCACCTTGTTTGAACAGCGAGGTTACCGTAGGACTTCTTATATACTCAAAAGCTCGTCAACTACCGTCCAAATTCCTTAGGCTTGTGGAAAATGAATTCTACCACATGCTACATTTAGGAATTATCCGACCATCAAACAGCCCGTTGGCATTCATATCGCTTATGGTCCCTAAAAGGATAGCAATGATTGATTTCCAACCAATACGAAGACCACACTCGATCGTTATTGTCACTTCATATGCACGAAAAAACTGCTACTTTCAAATGTAGTGCTGTTTTAAAAAAAATTGACTTAGCCAAGGCCTATAACTAAATCGCCACAATTGCAGAAGTCAATTCTGGAACAGCTGTCATGGAGTCGACGAAGTTTTGAGTGTCTTTCACTCTCCAATCGATGAAGTTTGCAGGGTAGGGGAAAGTGGTACAAATCATTTATTTCTGACTGCTTGCTAAGCTTAGGAAATTACGTTTTCTTTCAACCCCATGAATACCATGAAATGGAAGACAGTACTTTTATTTATGTTCGTTTGGACATTCAACCATATGAATTTGGGAAAAAATGTCTTGATACTAGAGATGACTCCTCATGGGTTACTGTAAACTGCAGGTCATATACAATATCTGCTGGTAGGATGTGCCATCCGATACTGAATTTTGCAAATTATTGACAAACATTTTCTCTTGTTTCTCATCAACCCCACGCAATTATAGTTAATGACAATTCTACACTTAGATTTTTAGTAAGGTTTTTGAGTGTTTCACATCATCTCCTTGGAAAGCCTTACAAATTTTGTATACGGATTCCCCTTTCATACTGGTTTCAATCGTCCTGAATAGGACTACACTACTACACTTTGTCTATGAACATAGCCAGTGAGCTGAAACATGGAATGGTTTATGCAACTTTTTCTTCTCTGCAAAGCCTTCCTGTTTGCTGGTGCTTTAAAAATGGTACACACATTCTCGTCTTCTACCGCATAAAATTATATTTCAACGATAATCCAAGAAGATATTAATAAGTCATACGAATGGACCACGTCGCGGAATCTTTCAATGAATGTTGGCTAAAATGGATTTCTCGGCATTAGTCGTAGCTCGAAACTCAGTCTACTTCTACACAAACAAGTATTGAAACCGCTCAGTATTGTTGGAGGTTTTGGTGTAAGTTATAGCAACAACTTGAACTTTTCCGAGCAGATTGCAGTTCAAGTATCCAAAGTAAGAAAACTCATTAGATACATGTTGATTAAATCCAAAAGACTGAGTACAGATTATTATAATATGAAAATGTATTATTTCACTGAACTAGAATTCCATATTCAACAAAGTAATTTTAGACACAATGATTTGCTGGAAACTGAAGACGTTTAAATGAAATTCACCAAAGCACTTTTGAAGTATCTCTGTAAAAAGGATAAGCAACAAAGATGTCAAAAACGTTGGTTGGAAAGTGTATGAATCGGGCTCATCAAATAAAACTGTTAGGTCTATTTTGAAAAGGCTTTGCTTGTGAAAATCTCTCCATGTATACGTTTGTAGTATGTCCTTTTGATTCTTTAGGTCCTACATTTTAGTAATCTATTCAATTCCATTTTCAGATGATCATATATACATTTTATTATTGTTTCTCTCTTTTGTGCCTTAGTTTAGTTTCTATGTTTCTTTCTGTACTGCATTATTTTGTTTATAGTGATACTTAGTTATGGCGATAGCCATATTGATTTTATTCTTCTGTTGGTTGGAGCGATTGCACTGACTGAAGTATGCGATTTCGACTGGAAATTGGAGTACTATTCTAGAATTGGAAACACTCCATGTTATAAGAAGAACAGAGAATAATTTATTTGAATAACTGAAGGAATAAAATGGTAATATTGCTTAGGTAATGATGTGTATTTATATTTATGATTAATAATAGAACAGTTACTTACTCAATCACTTGTTTTCGATTTAAATTAGGCAAGGTGAATATCTAAATTACCTGGACAGTTATTTCTAAATACAAACATAGGTTTGAGTACTATACAAACCTTGTCGTCATTTGCCGTTTCGCAAATGGTACTTCGTACTTCCGGCATCCACTCCTTCTCGCTCTATCATTGAAGAATCCATTTTGAATGTTTTGTTTTTTGGAAAATCCCTCCATGTTTACAAATTTTTGTTATGACATGACGGACTCTTTCTGTTGACATTTTTGGTATTTTATTTGATTCCAATTTGAGATTTTATCATTGTATATTGTTATTATTTCTATATTTTGTACTTATATTGAAGTTTTTATGTTTGCTTCTGAACTGTATATGTGTTGTTTAAATTTGATCTTTAATATGGCCACAGCCATATTTGGATTGATACGGTGGCGGTTGGACTTAACGTCACTTATTCCCCTTTGCCTTGGATACTCCTCGGAGTAATTGTGCCTTGGAAGGTGCATCAACTTCAGGTATTGCTTTGTATTTCCATCTTTTAATATAATATAGACCGTTTTCTCCTAGAATTGTTGTGTTTTCTGGACATTGGACTAAGAGATACGCGTACAAATTGCACTTACTGGAAACCATTGGAACCGCTACGGTAGAAAATCCATTACA